CATATATGTAGAATTTTATGTTTTCGATTTGACGATATATATATAAAAAAAAGGCAACTTGCAAACTATAGGCCTTAGTTTAACTTTCACACATTCCTGAAACTTTTCTTCTTCAGGACGGTATGAATTAAATCATATGGTAGATGTGACAGTGCCGGACACTGTAGTTGATAATCCCAACTGTTAAATGGGTGTTTTTTTTCCTTTTACTAAGTTTGATAAAAAAATAATGCAACATATGTAAATGCTATTGCGAAGAAAAGTAAAAGTTTGCTACATTAAACTGGATTAGGTGAAATGGTATGTTGTATAACTGTTTACTAGCACTGACATTTACTTTGAAACTAGTTTTAAGGTTAATGAATATAAACAATGATAGAGAAAATATTTAAGGATAAATTTTTTTTCTTTGCTAAGTCTGTTAAATATATAGAAGAATACATTAAATAAGAAATATTTTACATATTAGGACATATCAGATGGAATGGATAAATCATGGGATCATCCATGGACTACAGAGGAAATGAGAAAAAAAAGAAGAGAATGGAGTTTAGCAGGTGATGCAGGGCTTCTTAAACATCTTCAGCAATTTTCTGAAGTATGATTTAAATTTGTGATGCACATTCCTCACTCAAGTAGTACATTGAAAATTCATATAAAAGATTGATATTTAATGACAACATTTTTCATAGAATTTAGCATCAAAAGCAGATAAAACTCAAGAGGCTTTGGATTCATTGACAACTCAATTAAATGAAACAGCAATATTTGTAGATAATGTTACCAATACATCTTTGGCTTTGGCCAATAATCAATTTATTGAGAGCCGTGTGCAAGAAGATGATGTAGATATTGAGAAAAACAAAGAAACATCAGTTGAGGTGATTGAAGGTTATATAATGTAAGATATTATGATCCCCTTTAATTATTATATTAAAATTTCTCTACAGAAATTGAAAGATGAAGATTCTGAAGCTGCAGATTTAATAGCTAGTGTAAGTGAAAGTATAAAGCAAGGCCTAAATATAATGTATGAAAAGTATAAGGAAATGGAGTTTGTTGATAGTGATAGTGAAGAGGAGGACAATAAAGTAGTACTAAGGTAAATATAATTGCTAAAATAGTTTTATTCTGAAAAAATGTTAAAAAAGTCTTGCTTGCTGCTAAAACGAATACCGTTTCACGAACTGCAAAATGCATCTTTCCGACGAATAGATTTCGTCTTATTGCTCTAAGGAGGAGAGATGATAGGGAGTCATGTAAACTGACAAGACTGTTCACATTCGACTGTTTATACGGACGGGTCCGAGTGGACTCTACATTCGCCAGGCAAAGATTAAAATACTAATAATTTAATTTCAGTGTTGTATTGGGGCCAAATAATCCATACCAAGATCGGCCTTTACCTTATACTATTGGTTCTGAAAAGTGGAAAACTTCAAATAAAATTGGTTTAGAAAGCAGCAGTAGCAGTGAATCAGAACAAGTAGATGAAGAAGAGGAATCAGAAAGTGAAGATGACAGCATAGCAGCATTTAAAGACTTTAGTATGGAGGCTGCTCCAAAAACAAATATTGAATCAGATTACAGTAAAAGAAATGATATAACATACATGGGCAATGAGAAAATAGATGTAGTTAGTCAAAATAACATAGGCTCTGTTCCTGAATCAATTACTTCTAATGATAATGTATCGAAGGTTTTTATGTTTTTTCGTTTCGTACCTATGTCATTATTTAATAGTTTTAATTGTACATATTATAATATTGTAAGATCTCTGTATTACTTTATAGGTACCATTGCCAAACAATGTAGCATCGAATTTTGCGGAAGAATTGGCAAAACGGTTAGGTACAGTTGGACAACCTCAAAAACCGTCTGTTGCAGATGAAAAAAACGAGTCGACGATAAACCAATTCAAAGGTACCTGTACGAACTCGATAAATTTTGTTGTACGTCCGTATTTAATTAGTATTGCGTTTGTCAGATGATCTGTTTACACCAGAAGAAGATGAAAATGCCTTAAGTGATAAAACTAACAAAATATTCAATGAAAATAAAGGATTTCTAAGTAATCAACCCGCGGAAAATGTATGGAAGGAAAAACAAATTAAATCATATAAGAATAATATTATACCTGCCAGCATTGATGTACCACCTCCAATTAGTACAGTTTGTACGTTTTTCTCAACTTAAATTGTTACGAAACTAATAGATAATGGGATTTCAAAAGATTTAATACGTTTCTGTATTTTTTAGCTACAAAACCAAAATCTTCGATCGATGATCTTTTCGCCGATGCAGATTCTGAAGATTCTGACGGCTTTTTCTCATCGAAAAATACAGTTAAAACAATCACGAAAAAAAAATATTCTAATAACAATAATCATTCGTTCAATGCAGAGGATGCACAAAAGAAATATTTAGATACTATAACACCAGCTGGTAACATAGCTACAAGTACACCAGAAACCAATTTAAATAGTGCTAATTTGTTTAGCGACGATGAAGATGTCGGTGATCTCTTTGGATCGTCTAAAACTGAATCCCCAAATAAAAAAGTACGCTCGCAAGAGGTAATTATTGTTAGCTCAAATTAATTCGAAAATTCTACAACGAAAATGCGAAATTAATGTTACGTTCACAATTTTAGAAACCCGAGGGGGGTGTATCAAAACTCGGAAATATCTTAACTTCAGATTTTGAGAACAAACTAAGTAATATATTACAGAGTCATTCGGAGTTATTCGGATCTTCTGGCAATAATACGTCAGGAAATTATAAAAGCGGAGTAAGCAGCGAGCCCGTGCATGATCATTCGCGATATACTATTTCAAATGACAATATTAACGAACGAGGCTCCATCGAGACGGCAAGAAATACCTTAGAAAGTTTAGACATCGCCAATGAAACCAGCGGAATATCGATCCATCCACCGAGTATTAATAACACAGGAGGTTCAAGCATAGGGTACGTATTAATCTTATTATTACTATAGAATAAATGTTCCTAATAGAATAAATTAGATGATCTATTGTAATATTTCCTTATTTAAAATAACTGCATCGCTTTTGTAAGGCCTTCGATCATATTTCGCCAAAGTGTTGATAAAAATTCACATTGTCTTCGTTACTTTATACGTATAAGAACGAATGAGCGTGCCAAGCACACGAAATGTCATTGAATTGATGATCCAAACATTAGTCATCCTTCATTGCGTTGCAGTGATTGTATCGAGTATATGCGCGAGCTCCAAGGCGAGCTCCTTTAGTTTACGAGCATTTCATCTTAAGCTAGTATCTCGTTCGTATATATTCGATCAACATTTTCTCCCAGTTGTATTTATTTTTAGTCACGTAATATCAAGTAAGTACTACATTGTTTCACAGGTTACAGTTCATATTTAACGGTATCTTATGAGTAACATTGTCCGATGTTAACGATCTTTTTTTTTTTATATCAATCATTTGTTCCTCCACATATAGGTCCCGGACAACACTCTGGGTAGGGTTTGCTTAGATCCAGTTCTCGGTATCCAAGTGATTTTCCCCCGCACATCCATGCCGGGCACCTAAAATGTTTAATCCTATTTTATAACAGGGTGCTTTACGAAATTTTAAACAATTGCTCGAACGTGTAGAATTTCCAGTTTTCAAAAAAACGTGATATAGAAACAGTAAGTAATACTGTGCAAATATGGCACTTAATAAATAGGTATTAATTTAAAATCAAAATCACTTACGATACTCCTTGTATAGTACCGTCTGGGTTACACGTAATTTGCTGGCAATTTACGTGATGTTGTCCCGGGGTAAGATTATGACCCTCGTACTGGCAATTTCCTGTTTACAAAGATTTCGTGAAACTTCTTTACGAGGATTAAGTTATTAAATTTCTTTCAATTTTCATTTCTCAAATTCAATTATACATTTCAATATTACACGAAACCTTACTTCTCTCACAAACTCGTTTCTGTCATTGGCAATTCAATTATATTAACGATAATGGAGCAATTAAAGCAAATTATCACGTTAAGTCTAGCGAGAATTTATGGCACGCAATTATACGTCCGTTCAAGCGCTTGTTATTGATGACACTTTATCGGAATCTCTACTGTTTTCTTTTTCTTCCTATTTATGCGTTTCCAATCTGTTAGCTGTCGTTCTAATAATCAGTGTTTGAAACTCAATAAATTATTTCTCCAGGAATTCCTCATTTTTTTTATCATATCGTTATATCTGTTTTGTATGTCAATTATGTTATACTTGCATCCGCGAGAACTAAGACAAAGTGACTGGATAAGATTTTTACTGATTTTTAATTATATACATGTTAAACTTTTTTAACAAGAAAACAAAAAAATTAACATACCTCGTACTTCCAAAAATAAGCATGTTGTCATCAAAAGTGTGCATAGAATTATGGTCTTCATCTTGATGTTTCAGCGTATGAGAGTTAAGATCTCTCTAACAGTACTGATCATATTTATGCTGTGATTTTCCTTTTATACCTCCTTTGCTCTTCTTTTTTTTATCTCCTTGACCTTTACATAATCTCTTATATCTTCATTTCTATAGTATACCATATAAATTAATATCTGCTTCGAGGTACATACATGTTTTCATAGATTGGGATATTGATTAAATCCTAATATACTTGTAATTGGTATAATTGTTCGTAAAAGGAAAAAATAATAAAAACGATACGAAGAATCTTCTACGCTTACGTAAGTATTTTTTCGCAGAAGTCGTTCCGCACGCAGAAACATATATTTACGCAGCCTTCAGGTGTACGACCAAAATTTCGACAAATTTATCAAATCATACTTCAGTCCAAAAACCCTTTTTTTTTTTTTATCAATTTCGTTGTGATGTACCTTCTACGCATCTTATCGATATAAAACATGTTTCGCAAATGAAACCTCTGTTCACATTCTCCTCGTATTTTCGAAGTATATTCTTAGATACCGAACCTTCTGCGTCCAAGGCAAACAAAGTGCGTCTCTCGGATGCAGATGGAACGGTGACTTTTCCAAACCCGAAACTTTCCGTCGTTTCGACTCGAGAAAATAGACGAGAAAATACTCGAGAAAAAGACCAGGAAGAAGAGCCAAGATGAAATCTGTCGCAGTCGCGTTACTACCATGCTGTTGTTTTTTTCTCGTTTCAACGTTTATGGTTTTTTCCTTTCAGTGTCGACTTTCAGCCACAGATGACGTCGAGTCGCTTAAAATCGGAGGAAATCTACCGTGAACGAGTCGCCAGCGATAGCCTGTTTACGGCCCGTTCGCGTAACGCGGCGAACGCTACCTCAAACTCAGCTTCGAACTCGACGAACAGTCAGCTGCAAGAGGAGTCGATTGGAAACTTTTCCGGCATACGACAGGACGATGTGTTCGAGAACGAGGACCTGTTCGGTCCTCCACCGCTACCGAAAGCCGATTCGAAGCCAACGAAGTCGAAGGTGTCGTCGCTGTTCGACGACTCTGATTCCGGCGACGAATTTATCTCGACAACCAGCTCGAGTTCTAGTAGAGATCTCTTCGACGAGGTGATCGACATATTCGGGAACAAAGATATCTTCGAGAACAAAGATATCTTCGGGATAATACCGAAATTGACCGCCAAAGAGGAGAGCAACATCCCTGGTAGAAAGTTCTCGGACATTCCCGACGATGATATGTTCGCTAGTAACATTCGAGATACAGTAACGAAAAGCAATGTCCCGGAGAAGAGTCAGAACGTCGTGGTACCGAAGAGGATAAGCCTGTTCGACGACGACGACGACAACGATTTATTCGCCGCGAAACCTGTTAAAACCGAGACCAAAAGCGAGTCCCGTATTTTCTCCGACGACGAGGAGAATGATTTGTTCACTGCGAATAAACCGATTGGCGGGAAGCAGAGGAACGATAAGCAATCGGTGGAAACGACTTCTGGGATAGACATTGTTGACCAGAAAGTATCCGATGGAAAGAGAGAAAAGAAGGACAGTCGTATTCTTGCGGACAACGAATTGTTCTCCACTACCACTGGATCGCGTGGATTCGTTTTCGAGGATGACGACTACGACGGTTTGTTCGGCGGTACAAAGACCGTAACCACAAAGAAAACGAAAGAGATTACAGAGGTTACGACAGTTAAGGAGTCGTCTGTTAAAGATACCGAAATACTAGACGACTCGAATATGTTTGCAAAACCGAAAGAACCAAACGTTTCCGCAAGCACGTCTAACAAGCTGGTAGAAGAAATCACCGGGATATCGATGCACAAGGATAGTTCTGAAAAGCGTGAAACTACGGAAAACGTGAAGCACGAGCCGAAGAAGAGTCCTCCGAAATCATTGGACATTCATACATCGTCGCCACCGTCTGAGGAGAACAGCCAAGGAGCGAAACGAGCGGTTTCTGGTAAAATAAAAAATCTGATGGGCAAGATGGGCGATTTGAAGATACTTTCACCCATGGATACATCGCCGTTATGGCGAAGAAGCGAGGAAAAAACAGACGAGGAAGATAGCATAGCGGATCGAGATAGCGATGATGGCGGATGCATTAGTACACAAGGTCATAGTTCACCTTTAAGTGTATCTGGTATGTATTTGGAGCATATTACGTTTTATCGCGTTTCTATTTATTTTCTTGTACTTTGTCCAAATAAAATTGTTATCTCGTAGAAGACAGCACTGCTCAGAAACAATCGCAGCAATCTACGATTTCGGGTGAAAGTAATGTAGAAAGTGCCATTAGCTTCGACGAGCCAGCCCAAGTGGAAACGTTATCGACCACTGCTTCGAAGGTAATCGTTGAAATATCTTTCGAGCGTAATTGAAGCTTGAAAAAAAAAAGTGATAATTCCGTTCATTATATTTTGCATATCTTCTTTTAATTTTTTAACGTTTTTTAGACTCGTGTTCGAATACAAGCGAAACGTCGGCCACAGAGCAGGCATGCACGAAAGTCAGCCATCAAGCAGAGCGGAATCAATTTTGATGCCGTGGACACGTCCGCGAACAATTTACAAGATAAGAGCCAGACTAATCAATCGTCGAGTGCCTTCAATAAAGAGGTCTCTACGGCCGTGAACGTCAGTGTCGCGCATACCGTAACCACGAATTCCGATCGTTTAATTTCATCGACTAATGATAATTTTCATCGGACCAACGACGCTAACATATTTTTGGCCGCGGACGATAGATCTGAGCTTGGTAGTATTAGCAAGGAAAGTTCTATGAGTGCCAACAAAAACACTTTGCTGTCCCCGTCCACCGACGAGGAAGATTTATTCGATGTGCCGCCTGATTTACCGGAGGATCCGCAAAAAGAAGACATGCTATTTGGTAGAGCGCCCATTCTTTCTCCAGTCGAGAGAGTTTTTCCTGAAAAGCCTCCTGTCACATTCAAACCGTTAAAGGACACGTACATCAAGCATACCGACGATGTAGACGCAGGTACGGCAAAGGCTGCACGAAAGATAGAGAAAAGTAGCGTATTATCTGAATCTAGTACCACTGCTAATACGAAAGATCCGATTTCACGTGCAAGTCAAATAGAATCGAAACAGGAGGGTGTCGAATCTAAAGACGAATCGAAGGAAGTGATTGATCCATTGCGAGACAATAGTCACGATCCGCTGAAAGATCCGAGTCAATTGTTCGCTTTCGTTACGAAAACACCTTCACCGGAAAAAGGAAAGAGTTTGTTATTTTCCGAGGACGATAGTCTTTTCTCTAACGGCGTTAAAAAGTTGGCCGAGGAACAAATCGCGAAGAAACCAGTTTTGGACTTGTTTGCCGACGACGTGGAAGGTGATCTGTTTTCAACGTCTTTAGTTAAACCTGTAAAGAAACCATTGAAGGATACGAAAATAAATTTATTCGACGAAGATGACGAGGATGATAGTTTGTTTGGCCCTGTTGTAAAGAAACCGTCGTTAAAAAGTGAGCTCGAAAGGAAACATTCTGTGCAACAGCCAGCGAAGAAAATAAGTTTATTCGACGATGACGATAACGATACCAATTTGTTCTTCGAACCGTCCGAGCACGGACAGAAATCAGATTGTGGGAGTATCCAAGAGCAAACGAACAACAATGAGATGTTTACGAGTATTACCGAACCTGTGAGGACCTCGCATATTACAGACATTTTTGCCGATCAGTCGAGCGAAGAGGACGATTTCTTTGCCACGAAACCAGTCCCGAAGAAAGTTCCCGTGGCGTCCAAGTCTTTGTTTTCTTCTTCTTCTGACGACGACGATATTTTCGGGAAGAAAACCACGACCGAGTCGCAAGTAAAGGCGACAGAAACGCGTACTACTGTAAAAAAATCGGTAACGAGGGATCTGAAGAAAACGGCTGAAAAGATCGGCGAGGACCCTTTGAGCGTTTTACTAGATGATTAAGCACATTGTTTCCTGGAAGAATTATATATGTTATTTGTATTTTGTTGTTTAATGTTTACGTTTTATAAATTGATCGAAATGTGATCGTGCTGAAAACTAAATATACACGATACTTTCCAAATTATATATTTATCGAAGTAATAATCGACAGTTAAGTATATGGATAAATTAATTGTGTGTAAATGATGAGAAACGCTGTGCGTTGAAAAGTATGGGCACTGTGCAAAAATGGTGGATAAAAATTTAGTTAATATACGAATCATATTTATTTTTATTTATATTTTACACACGAAAAATTCCAAAATACGTTATGATTTACAACAAATACTATGAAATATATATTTTACAGTATTTTTTCACCGTCGCTCTCTGAAAATAGAGATCGTAAAGAAAATATGAAAATTATGGTAGAAGGATTTGTATTAAATACCACGAACAACGAACAATAGAATAATCCGTATAAATACAATAGTAATTAATGTTGCTTAGTTTATTTTGCCATTATATTATACGCAACCATTTTGCATAATTAGTCTGCAAGCAGTGCTTTACACGTATGGTGGATATTATATATTTTCTGTAATTCATGTGTAATTCGTATATTTCATTTCTTTTTAACGTACGCCATTCCATAGTGTAATGTATTGTATATACTGTATCCTCTCTATGAAGCAGTGCAAATAAACTGGTAGAATAAATGTGTAAACTGTACATAAAGCTTTAATTCTTGATCTGAAATGTTTTTAAGTATGCCGCATTTATTAGAATTTCAGCATACGTTATTTGTATCAGTAACTGGTTAATTAAGTAGACACTGTGGATTTCGGGGTAAATAAAAGGGTAAACATTGCAACGACGTCGAAAATGTATTGCTTAAACGTGACAACGTATTTTTTAGTCAGAAAATCAATTACTGTTCAGTCTTTACAAAGTAAATTTTTCGAAACAGTACTTAATTGCGATAAATTATAATATTGAACGTTTGTTAAGAGTGTTTCAATTGTAAATAAAGAAAAAGCTCATTACAAAGTAATTTCTCGAATTAATTTTGAAACGTCAACGAATAAATATTTATGTATATAGAACGTAAATGCTGGATTGTAATGAAACAAATTCAACAATAACGATACAACAACAAGCGATATCAACGATCGCTTACAACGGACTGAGTAGACTAAAGTTTGAGGAAACTTCGTTCTCTTATTTCACAAATTTTTTATTAAAGTCTCGCATAAAACGGTACGGTTGAAATTCAAATATGTTCCAAACTAATTAGTTTTTATACATATATACTTTTTTTTTATAGGGAATTACAAGCTGCGTCGTCTGTTAATGCATTCAAAAATCGTATCGATCCTATTTAGAAAAAGAAACCTAAGTGGTCTTCGCGTGATCTTAACGCCTTCAAATCCTAAATATCTGTATCTTACTATGTATGTCCTGTAACCCCCTTACAGCATATAGCATTTTTTTTTCTACTCAGCATACTTCTCGAGACATTTACAATGTTGTATTAAAATGACTTTGTATGTAAAATTCATTTTTCCATTTCATACATTTGCTTGTTTCGGTCTTCTGTCTATTTAGTCCGCTAACTTTCCCTATTTCAGTTTAATTTATTTCATTTATTTGCGTAAAGCGAACTGAATATTCTACAATATCTCGTTATCATTCTATTATCGTTATATCGCTATTGTAATCGAGAATATGTATATATATTGCTAAAAATTAACTGCTGTTTTAATTTGCATAAAGAGGGGGCAGGAGGGCCAGGAGGGGCAGGAGGGGGCGGCGACGGTCACTTTTCCCTGTATTGTATGAGTATACGTTTGAGGAAATGTGTACCTGTTTTTAAAGCTATTGGAACGGGGTCGGAATACTTTGCAGTTGTAGTTCTTACGTCGTTGGATACACATCGGTCGTTACTTAGATTTCACATCCGGTAAGTAATAAAAAAAGAAAAACGACGAAAATATAAATTATCTATTGTTTTCTATTTATCGAACAGCTATCTGTTGTTTTCTTTTACATTTCTATCGGTCTTCGCAATGACGTGTGAAGTTTTGATTATGTACCTCCAAACGGTATCTAAATTCAAATTGCGGAAATGTACATAACGAACTTACTTTAGATTCGTGAAAAAATTTCGAGTATTCTACGATTGTGACTTGTAAGAGATAGCTTTGAAGACCTGAATTTTTCGGTACTTAAAGAAGAAAAGTACTTGAAGGTAAAATTGGAAAGTAAGAGGGCAGCTTCTTTTTATTTTTGTCGTTTGGTCACTTTCATATTTGGTCGTACGGTTTCATTTCAACGATCTTCCCCAGATACTTGTTAACGTGAACATCGTTATTTACGCATCTTTCGGCTAACGATTTTCTACGAGTGTTCGTTAATAATAATAAATAATATTCGTTAATTTGACGAGCTTGTTTTTGTGAGAAAAACGACGAGCGTCTCGTTCGAATCTATCGAGTACCCTAGAAAATTTTTTAGGCAATAATAACACCGAACTGCGTATAAACACGACAATTTTACAGGTATCAAGATGACATCAGACGGAAGTAATGCATATATTAACGATATATTGGATTTCTCTGAATCACCGGTCACAAATGAAAAAAGTGAAATAGTTGAATTTCTTGCACATACTAATGTTTTGGTAACAGGAGGAACAGGTTTTTTGGGAAAACTCCTCGTCGAAAAGTTACTCAGGTAAAACAGCGGCTTGAAAATTTCCAATAGTCGGTTTACTCCAAGGTTTTCGCTCGGCTGTATTGCGAAATTAGCAGAATTACATTGATAAAAACATATTCACCGATTAGTACATACTATTGCAGAGTAATTAAAAATATCGAAACTTGTTTACATTGTGACATTCTTCGATGTTTTTTAATATTTCCCCAAATTCAACCGAATTTACATTCTGTTCAATTTCTATTAATTCTACCGTGCTGGTCAAATTTGCTAAATGTTTTTTTCCACGATTTTAATATGTCACCTAATTCTATTTTATCCCGTGAATTTGCAGTCATACAAACTACGTCGTTAAAATTTTCGTTTTTTTAAACCAAAGAAATGTTTTGCTTAATATTCGTTTAATAAGCTGAGATAAAAAGCAACTTCGTCTGTAACTTACGAAAATTCTTCGTTCTATCAGCTGCATATTATAGTGGGAGGCATTTGATTTCAATACTTTAGCTTTATTAGCATAGGATGACATGCTGCATTATCAATTGGTAGAACCCGAGGAGGAAGCTTTTGTTGCTTAAGCATTTTGTATATTCCGGTAGGAAATATTCATGAAACAAATTCGTAAACATCTTTGCGTTCATTCGGCAACTCTTTTCAGCTTTATGTACCACTGACAAAGCATCTCTCTTTAACATTTTTAAATACTTCGAAATTTTCGGATTTTCCTATAATTAGCAATGATCATTCGTGGTTTCTCCAAAGCGTAACAAGTTCTTTGCTATGTTTACGTCCTGGAACAATTGGTCTCATCTCTCGAAACTAGAGTCTTCTGAGTGTACTTTTTAATTACTTTCTTCGAAGAAATCGTTCAAATTCGGGTTACCTTTTCACCAGCTTCAAATTTACGTATAACTTTTACTTCACGTTTTATTAAGTTACTCGCGTACTTTTGCTTCTCAGCCGTTATTACAGATCTGACATGCTTCTTCTAACTGTTGCGATAAAATTAAAATCCACCCTACCGTTCTGCCGTAGCTTATCATTTTGATTATTCGCAACTAACCGAGCATCCCTAGCCAACTTGTCGAGATTATAAATATCTGCACAGTGAAATTGTACATACGAGTGGATGTTACCGTTCCGGATTAATTATGTTAATTCAATTTTAAATAGTTTCAGCAATTTCCAATGCGTCATGTTCTCACTCATTTGCAAGACAAGTGCCTTGTTCGATCGGTTCAAAGGTACATCCGGTGTTTATAGTATAATTCCGCTGTGTTTACGATTAGAATTAATTAGCGAATAATTAATGAAATATCAATTATTTTTGGAAAAGCATACAAACATTATTTGAGCAAATTCCAGCGAGAATAATAAGTAAAATTCGTCTGGCTAGAAAGAATGAATTAAATTGAAGGATTCGGCGCAAGAACCGGTCAGCTCCATTATTGGAAACTTTACAGTAATTACACTTGTAAAGATTGTATTGGTAATATATTTTTCACGAGAAATAGTTTGCTCGGTAGTGGCAGTTTCAATAAGATCTCTTTCTTCTTCGGTAGAGTGGCCGATTCTTGCACCGAACCCTTCAATTGAACTTAATTCGAATAAAATATGCTGAGCGTGGTTGCTCGAAATTTTAGACTTCGACTTAACGATTTCTGGATGAAGATGAGTTCTGAATGAAACTTGGTGTGAATTGATTTTTACAGTAAATTTAAAAATGTAATCGTTTGCTATTGATGAATGGAACTATGTATATTTGAAGATACAAAGAAATTGTATATGATTGATATGTACAGTGCTGTTGTGACGATGGCTCTGTGCCTAGCTAAATGTGCCTAATGAATTTTACAATGATAATCCACCAAACCGGGTCTTCCTCGTGTTTTACGATTGCTACGCAATAGAATAAACGAATACTTTCTCATATACATTATTTCTGTTAGTATAGACATGAAATAACAGATGTAATTAATATAGATTGGTAAAATTAATCCTTCATTTCTATTAATATTGTCAGTATTCCCTGCAAAGAGCATTATTTAATAATTTATTTTTCTTGTGTAATTATCGTTGTATTTCATTGTATGCATATTGCAGAGTTTGCCCAGATTTGAACAAATTATACATGACCGTAAGGCCGAAAAAGGGGAAAACAGCTTTGGAACGATATGAAGAAAACTTTGACTGTGTCGTAAGTAATATAAGCTTAATAACACGATGCGAATAGTTGAACGATGATAAAATAGGTGTACCATTTTTTATTAGGTATACGATAAATTGAAACGTGAACAGCCAAATTTTATGGACAAAGTGGTAATGTTAGAGGGTGATGCAGCACATGACGATTATGGATTGTCACTGGAAGATAAAAAGTTATTGATGGACATAAATATCATTTTCCATGCTGCTGCAGTTGTACGATTTGATGAAAAAATTCGTGTAGCAGCGCATATCAACGTGAGGAGCACGAAATTCTTATTAACGTTTGCAAAAGGACTACCAAATTTGAAGGTACACTAAACGTTACCTTTTTTTCTGTTTTACTTTATTTGCATTACAAATATTTTTTTCCAAGTTTCGCTTTATTATTTTATTGACAATTCTATGCACAGGCATTTGTACACGTGTCTACAGCATTTGCACATTGTACACATACACTTATCAATGAGATACATTATAAAGACTCTATTGATGGGGATAAATTCTTAACATTGGTGGATGCTATGGATGATGAGAAACTTGAAAAAATTACCCCAATGTAAGCTTTACTTCTATAAAATTATAAACGTCAATTATTTAAACAGAAAGGTAAATAATTTTAACGAAGAGCAAATTTTCCTTGTTAACAGACTGCTTGACAAATGGCCTAATACATATGTGTATACAAAAGCAATAGGAGAAAATATTGTATTAAAGTATACCGATGATCTTCCAGTTTGTATTGTAAGACCTAGTATTGTTTTATCAACCGATAAAGAACCACTTACTGCATGGACAAACAATATGTATGGAGCTACAGGTGTAGTTTTAGCAAGTGGTGTAGGTTTATTACGTACGTTACATTGTGTATCAGAAAATATAGCAGAGGTCATACCAGCAGATTATGTTGTGTCTAATATTGTTGCTTCTGCTTGGGATATTGCCAATAAGTAAATTTTTCATCTTATTACTTTCTTAATGAATGATTTCAACTTTTATGATTGATCAATTTAAGTTTTCGAGTAATGTTGTAGTACAGATATAGTAGCATTTAAATTTCAATACTAATGATTATTTTATCTTGTAGAAAAGCTGCACAAAAATTAGATGAAAATCCTAAAATACCTGATGAGGAAAGGATACCTATTTATAACTCTGTATCTTCTTGTCAAAATCCAATCTCATGGGGTGTTTTTATGAATAAAAATGCAATTTTTGGAGTGGAGATACCTAGCATAAAAGTTCTCTGGTATTATATGTTGATACTCAACAGATATTTACTTCTGCATAATATTTGTGCTTTCTTCCTTCATACAGTACCAGCAGTTATTGTTGATACAATAGCTCTCCTCAGTGGTCGTAAACCTACGTATGTATTTTATATGGGAATCAGACATTACATACAAGGAATTACATAATTATATGTATTGATGATTATATAAATTAATAGCAATTATTTATTATTATTTTTAGATTGTTAGATGCATATAGGAAAATACACAAATTTAGCAAGGTGATACATTACTTTTCAGCAAGGCAATGGAGGTTTAAAAATGATAATGTTGTAAAACTTTGGGAAAAAATGAATTCCCGTGATCGACAAATATTTTGCTTCAATACAATTACATTGGATTGGGAAGAATACTTTTATCAACATATGAGAGGTCTTCGCACATATATGTTAAATGACCCCTTTGATACAGTGGAAGAAGGAATCAAAAGATATGCTAAGTATGTTTATGTTTAGAAGTTTATTAATATTAAACTTATTGTCATTTTACATTATAAAATTTTTGTATGTTGCAGGCTACGTATAGCTCACTACACAGTTACACTAACAGTATCACTATTACTTTTATGGATTTTGGTATCTTTTGTATCATACATATGGTCCTTCTGGCCTTTATCACATTAATAATTGCAAATATTAGCTATGCAGTTTCCTTTCTAAATTAAATTATTTGAATACAATTTTTTTCTTATTACCATGTACACTCTGGTTACAAACACTTTTTATTATTGTACATCATTCGTTATTTCGTTAACAGATGTCGCCACAAATCTGTATGCTCTTTTCTTGAATAAAATATGCACATTTCGTCAGTTTTATTTTATGAAGTCCTATTTCCTTATTTGTATGTGAAAACAAATGTATTTTTGAGTGGTTATTAATATTTTTTAATTTACGTTTCAGTATTACAATCATCATTAATGGCTTTGTGTGATTCGACGTAATGAAAATAGAAAAGTGCGAAAGTTTCAAGTTGTATGTAAAATCTACTTGTATTTGTAAGTGTTCGGTCTCAATTCATTTTTAATAGTTAAATTAGTCTATAAATATAATAGGATTACATAACTTGTAGACACGTTTTGCATATGTGTTTCAAATTATTAATATGTGTATACATAGACGTGACAAATAAATGAAGCATACATAAACAGAATATTGAAATTTTTAATTTGTAAATAAAAAATATCTTGCTTACATGTCATATGTATAATTTACTGAAAACGTTATAACATCATTTCAAATATGATAACAATGTAAACATCGATCATACTTAAAATTTTATGTTCAGTGTCTATAGTATTATATTAATTCTATATAGCTTTGCATTAAATAAAAAATTAATAAAAAATTTCAGGCAGGAACATTTCCGTTAAGGAAATAAAATAGAAATTCAAATTTGTTTGTAATATACATTTACAAAAACCAGTTTCTTAAACTAAAAAGTTTCTAATCATGAAAATGAAATTTATACGTGGGAGTCTCTTTTCTATTTATAGCCGCGTTGTTAATAGGCACGCGTACAGAATTGCCTACATGCCGAGCACATTGTATACAAATTGATTGATTTATTATAGTCTGAAGTTTTATTGAAATTATCTGTTGTCCTGTTTCAGCTTTTCTTTGCTTATTACGATCCTATTTAAATAATGGACGTATCAGTAACCTTATCTCTTCGATTCCATAGAATCTTGTTATTTGAAAAGTAATGATTTACATCTAAACCTTTTTTTTTTATATAGAAATTGAAATAAAGCAAATGTAAGAGAGTCGTTAAAAATAATAAAATTTGTCGTAAATTAAAAAAAATATTTTAATCTAAAATTTACATTTTCATTCCAGCAAACGAAATTTGAATTTTCCATCTTCTGATATTATCAAAATGTGGCATTGGTAAAAAATGTAGACAAATATTATTAGGTAATATTAGTATAATTAATATCTCGTCAAACTAGAATGTACTTATATTTCGTAGCGATAGTATCGTTATAAGAATCGTAGAGGCTCGATACGATCAAGGTCGGGTAAAAACAGCATTAGTAACGACACGGATGGACCGAAGGGGCAGATCGGCAAAAGAAGCGGGTAAGTCGTGCGCCACCATCGTGTACCGAGCGTCGGAGCGTAGTGCGATACGGGGATGGAGGCCGCGCAAGCAGGCGAGCGAGTCGAGCGAACAGAGTCGAGGATCGAGAACCAACCGGCGACTCAGGAAGGCAGTGCACGCCCGACTGCCGACACGAGCGGATGGCGTACGTTGCCGCTCGCGCCACCATTACCTCGTGATTTTCCTTCCTGTCAGATACGGTCACCGTCGTCGATCTTGTGACGAAGCACGCAGTATTTGCAACCACTATTGGCGACTGCACGCGGTCGTAGTCTTCAGGTGGTCAGTAGTGACGTTGCGTGTCGCGCTCCGATCGCGAAATAGAGAAAAAGAGGGAGAGAGAGGTAGAGAGAAAAGAACGAGCGAGACAGAAAAGGAAATAAAGAAACGGAAGGAGGCGAAAGGTAGTTTTTTTTCCTTCATCTGTCTCTCTTCGTCGATTTTTCATCGTCGTCGTGTTTTCTGTCATCCATGGACATCACACGTACCGCGCACACGCACACCTCCTAATACCACGTGTGTGCACACGCATGCACGCATTCACGCACGAATTTCAACGACGCACGTACAGATTATCGAGCCCGCGCGACTGGCGTACGGGGCGCCCTCCAAAAGTCGTGTGTACGCGTGCAACCCTACCGGAGCCCACTGATGTTGGTTACCATAGTAGCGCGCGTGCCGATCAGCTGATCGTTGGGACCCGAGCGTGTTCGACCGTCGGCAGTCGGCCAGCAGCGGCTCCGTCCACTCGTCGTTTCGTGCGTTCTCTCCGCATGCGTTCGCGCAGCTCGCTCGCCTTTCGCGTCGCGACTTGGTGATGAGCAAACGAACAGTTTCGTGAACATCCGGAAATCGTCGGTTTTCGAACGTAACGCAAAGTCCTCGGAAAAGCCCCGAACGGTGTAAAAAAGAAAAGTTTTCAGTAGATCGTACTCACCGCTCGGATGGTCCTATTTGCTGTTATCGATGTTGGAACAATACACCGACGCCCGCATCTTCATGTCGATGTAATTAATACAGTAAATGCTCAGACGTTCAGACGAATGATCCATGGTGTGCCGGGGTGTCGAGGAAAAGCCAATTGCAGTTTTGTCGATACACATGTATCGGTTGGTTCGGAATACGCCATCACACACATAACTACTGAGACCTTGCAATGATTTACGTCATGCATTTTAAATTCAACCGTCCAGAAATGAAACTCAACGGGGAAATGTTCAGCGACAGTGGATCGGAGAATTTGTTGCCATGCTTTGTTCAGTCGATTGTTAGAAAACATCTCGACTGAAGTATCGAAATACTTTCGTTGTCAAACGATTTCGAGCTGCATTCATGCACGAGTTTATTGACACGCAAGTGACACGTTTGGTGATAGTCACCATGCATTCCTAAACACGCTTGATGATAATCTAATTTTTGTTCGGCAAATAATACAACAAACGTACACCGTTTCGTAAAGCAGCAATTTACCGTGCGTTATGTTCGTGATAGTGTCGTCGGGTGACATTACGAACGTGACTGACCCTTGGCGGCCATCAACGACACGCTACAAAACGAACAAAACAAATCCACGAAAAACCGATCACCCATTGAAATAAATATCTCTCGAGGAATTACCAAGAGCACATCACTCGTCACTGGTTGTAACTAGTTAATTTGAAAACAAAACGAATTTCTATTACTGAAATTAAACCGGCCGTGTATCGCAGCACTCGTTAGGATGAGACGTAACGGTTATCGATCGACTGACCAGAAGTTGGTGCCGTAGTGTGTCTGCCAAAAAGTATCGATATATCGATATTATTTCGTGTACGGTGTTGCTAGACTGCAGTGGATGATGGCCGCGCAATCTTCGTATGTAAGAAACGAAGTACAAAATAGATCGGAATCGGAAGTGATAATCGCGGTGAATAATAGTTTTTGTTGAAACAAAATTCGAACTCGTTTGGCAGCGGTATCGCAGAATGTGAATGTTTTCTCTGTACGAACACACTTTGACAATCGTTTGTACCTGTGACGGATCGCTCGACCGCATTAACCAATCAGACTTGCTGTGAATACGTGAAGTGACTCAGTTTTCATGGAACATTCGTTAGAAGTGATTTTCGTTTATGTTTCGTGCAGTGCCTGCATCTTATGCGCTAACTGCGACGATGACAGTTCGAGATATTTTCTCGTTCACGCGGAAACTCTGTGATAGCCAATGCCAGCAACGCCATTACTCGGATTAAGTCAAGTGTGAGGAGAACACGGTTCCTGAAATCATCTTGATAGAAAGCTTGGTGAGTACAAAACACAGCTGTGTCTATCGCGATGTAAATAGAGAGGAAAAAACACATAGCATTCGTCGTTTCTGTGAACCCGAGCGAGGAAGGTTATACACGTTGAGATTTGAAAGTCGAATTACGTTGGTGTCGTATCGGGTTTCGTTTTTTTTTCCCGCCATTTTTGTTTCGACGTAGAATCACTTTTTACGCGCACTTTTTAAATAGAGAAAAAACGCAATATCCAGTTTCGTAATGTAGAAAAGTACGAAATTCACGGAAATATTCATAGTCGTAGAAAATAATCGGAATATTTACGCTTAAAAATATTAGCGAGTATACCTCGAGCAGAATATAGATTCCAGTCAGTTGTCGAGTCGACGAACCTCTATCGATCTTTACCTCCTGTCTGCGTCTGCCCTCCCCCGCTCTGTGTCACACAGGAATGCAAGCTGCGTTGTATTTCTAGCTTGGTTATTTCTTAAGTTTTTCGAGTTACAACCACTATCATAAAATGTCAGAATAAACCGGTTAATTAACACCGTTCGTTGATTATGTATCATAAATATTAATGTACTACGGCTGCGTGTACACACGACTGAAAGTATTTCGTGCTGATATTGTCGATAGATGTATGAAATTTAGAAAAAAAAAAAGAAATCCGCGTAATGTATTGTATAGTTTAATTATAGTTGTTTGCTGTGGAATTCTAGAATGTCGGTGCTAACTGACTTTATTTATCACTTACGTGTAATTATTTTAACTTGAATTCTTTTATATTTTTCAAACGTATACTTTTCTTCGTTCGTGTATTTCAAATCAAAAGAGCAGAACCCATCGGTGCGATAAATATTTACGAACAATATTGTACGAGGTACGTTACTGGCCACAGTCAATGATAAACACCACCCGCATAATAGAGGTACACACTCGATGATAAGCTCTCGGCAATAACCGCCGATGCGTGCGATACTCGCCGTTGTTGTTGGCTTTTAGTATGCACTACGATATGCTTTATCGGTTTCGTTTCCAATGTTGAAAAGAGTATGGGGCCCCTGAGTCAACCAATCGTTGAATTTTTCTTGATAGAACACGTTCGATTTTATCATCGAAACCTTTAACTTTTAGAGTGGACGTAATATGGTAGAAATTTTATAATTAATATTTCATTACTACGGAACGTTGTGAAGAGGCAAATTGATCAGTATCGAAGTAATGAAAAAGTACCCTGTCTGTCGACCTTATCCGTAAATTCG